CTGTCATTGTAGCTGGGATAATTTTACTTATTAAAGCTCATAATCTTACCACTTGAAACATCACTAGCCCTGAAGCTGCTGGTAGACATCGCAGTTGGAATTATCAAAAGTTTTTGACACCTGAGAGACACCGCAGCAACTCCTTTGCTTTTGAAAGCTGGGGGTGGGGGGAGGACCAGGGAGGATGATTCAACCACTCAACCACTAGATGTCGCTGAAAACAACAAATCCTACACACTGTGCCTTTAAGTGTTTACACGCACGCCATTCAGAGTATCAATCATAAAGCACTCCTCTCATCCTGATTATAAATTCATTCTGACCGAGCAGAATCAGATCAGAATATTCTGACTGRCAGTTTATTCTTTTTACTTATATTCATGTAAACACAGCTAATGGCTTAGAAAAAAAATCAATCCCATTTCTATGATTTCAAACTTAAATTAAGAAGTCTGGTTCTAYCTTCTTATTTGAGTTTTTTAGACAGACAGTTACAGTGTGATAGAAGGACAAAATGCTGGTGTTAAAATAAGAGAAACATATTTGTTTGTAAAATGGCAACAATTAAAATTGGAACTTAAAACCGATAATTAAATCAGAGACTGAGTAAATCATTACATGGATATTTAAAATGTGTCTTTTTTATAATATTTAGCTTGACTAACATCCTTATACAACAGAACTAAAGAAGGAAAATGACAGACTGTACAAATGTCACACTCTTTAGCATTGCAGTTCTTATCGTTTGTAAACTCCTGTRGTGCTGAAGGCTAACACTACTCACTTTCCATAGGGGACGTTTCTGGCCGAGGGGACAGCAGCATAGTAGAAGTTCTTGTACTCGTCCATCCACACCTCGGCAGCTCTCCTTGTGTTCCTGACRGAAGAAAGATAATGTGAGGTAAGGACACAAGAACTTAGTGATAATCAGGAGGTTTGTGAGAAACCATTAAAAAAAAAGTTTGTGCTAAAGCAACGTCAGACATTTGCAAACGTGCAAGCTCCCTGCGCAGAGTTGAATCCACCTGCACCACAGGAAAAAAAAAAACCCGTCCCCATCTGAACTTTACTTAGCAACTCCTCCTTACATTCAATGCAACTTGGCCCGGTCCCAAAAAGCCCATTTTAAAACTCGGCTGTGCAAAGTGGATCCCGCAAGAACAATTATAAAGTCATCCAGGCAAACAAAACAGTTGGCGTCTCGTTGCTCCCCTGAGTCTCCAGCAGGAAACCCTGTCAGGGACATTATTCAAAGTGAGGCGAGATGGGAGGACAGCAGAAGCTTCTTCTCTGCACTGCCATAAGAAAAGAAACTCGCTGTACTCGTTTTGAACTTTGACCTGGGAACGGACCCTACAGTGTTTCCTACRGAGTCAGTTTTTAATTTCCTCAGGAGTTTCACTCAACTCAGGATTTCTTCACTGCAAAAACTGTCCACCAAACCAAGTTTTAAAACCTTATATCCAGCCAAAAAAGTCTTTTTGATCTTGTTTTGAGACTGATTGTGTAAGAATAATAATCTTGTTTTCAGAATGTGTGAG